ATTGATGGAATGCCAAGGCATCATCGCACCTGTTGGTGATGACCCCTCAGATTGGTGCCACCCACTAGTCACCGTAGCGAAGGACGAAGGAGTGAGGATCACCGTAGACTTATCCCATCTTAATAGTCAGGTATCCAGACCAATGCACCCTTCACCAACACCCTTCGATGCAATCTGCCGAGTTACCCCCATCATCACGGTACTTCATGAAAGCGGACGCCCTGTGTGGATATTGGCAACTTGAACTTGCCAAGGAGGATCAACACCTGACAACCTTTATCACGCCGTACGGAAGATACAAGCACCATCGGGGTCCCATGGGCTTCTCAGCTACTGGAGACGCTTACTGCCGTCGAGGAGACATAGCTCTCCAGGGGATGCAGAAGTGCGTCAAGGTGGTGGACGACATTCTCCTCCACCCCACATCCAGCAAGTTGACCAGATGCTTCGTAGGTGTCGCAAGAACGGGATCGCTCTCAACGGAGACAAATTCGTGATCGCCGCCCCTAGTGTAAGCTTCTGTAGTTACACCATCTCAAACAAGGGCATAGAAGCGGACCAGGACAGAGTCAGTGCCATCCGTGATTTTCCCACACCTGCAAACGTGACCGACCTGCGTTCCTTCACCACTACTTTCACAGCTGATGGATCAGAAATGGCTCCTGCCTTGGGATTTTTCCAAGCAAAACTTCAACTGGGAAAGAAGAATTGTAAAGCGAAGATACAAGTCCATGATGGTGTCACGACTCCCCTCCTCTTACAGGCACTGCCAGGAGTTAGCCATCATATCTCCCCAGTTTCCGAAGCCGATATTGGAGGTCAAACACGCTAACAGGTGTGCCGAGTCACACCTACCTGACCTGCCAACGCCGTCTGCTGCAAGACCGTATTTCCTTTAGGAATACAATGACGTGCTGCTCACCAAGTAGGATCTCAAAGTGGCCCCGCTACAACTGATGACAGGTGGGCCCATGCGGATCTACTTAAAAGAAGGAGCAGTCCCATTTGCCATTCACACCCCAACACCAATCCCCTTCGCGTTTCAGTAAAAAGTGAAGGAGGAACTTGAATTGATGGAATGCCAAGGCATCATCGCACCTGTTGGTGATGACCCCTCAGATTGGTGCCACCCACTAGTCACCGTAGCGAAGGACGAAGGAGTGAGGATCACCGTAGACTTATCCCATCTTAATAGTCAGGTATCCAGACCAATGCACCCTTCACCAACACCCTTCGATGCAATCTGCCGAGTTACCCCCATCATCACGGTACTTCATGAAAGCGGACGCCCTGTGTGGATATTGGCAACTTGAACTTGCCAAGGAGGATCAACACCTGACAACCTTTATCACGCCGTACGGAAGATACAAGCACCATCGGGGTCCCATGGGCTTCTCAGCTACTGGAGACGCTTACTGCCGTCGAGGAGACATAGCTCTCCAGGGGATGCAGAAGTGCGTCAAGGTGGTGGACGACATTCTCCTCCACCCCACATCCAGCAAGTTGACCAGATGCTTCGTAGGTGTCGCAAGAACGGGATCGCTCTCAACGGAGACAAATTCGTGATCGCCGCCCCTAGTGTAAGCTTCTGTAGTTACACCATCTCAAACAAGGGCATAGAAGCGGACCAGGACAGAGTCAGTGCCATCCGTGATTTTCCCACACCTGCAAACGTGACCGACCTGCGTTCCTTCACCGGCCTGGTGAACCAGCTGTCAGAATTCACCCCAAGCATTGCGGCTACCGCCCAAACACTCCGCCCTTTGCTGAGCCCAAACACACATTCATATGGACAGCCGACCACGACGAGGCCTTCCGACGTGTCAAAGAAGCACTGTCACATCCACCCGTGTTAGCACACTTCGACCCATCACTCCCATTTGTGCTACAAACAGACGTCTCTCGACTCTATGGTATCGGCTATGCCCTACTAGAAGATCATGGCCAGGGACGGTTACGCCTTGTTCAGTGTGGCTCTCGCTTCTTAACCGACCCCGAGACAAGATACGCCACCATTGAATTGGAGATGCTCGCCTCCGTGTGGGCCACTGCCAAATGCAAACCATACCTGATTGGAGTCCCAAACTTCTTGATGACCGACCACAGGCCACTGATACCGATTTTCAACAAGTACACATTAGACGCAGTAGAGAATCCTTGCCTTCAACGCTTAAAGGGCCATATCTCACCCTACCAGTTTACAGCTGTATGGCGAGCTGGGAAACAGCTCTGCATTCCGGATGCCCTGTCACGAGCCCCAGTAAGCCGCCCCACATCAGAGGACAAGAATCTCTGCAATGACGCAGCAACCCACATGAGAAGTATAGTGACCTGCAACACCATCGGCACCGGAACTGACCCCAAGAATCAAGACGCCGACAGAACCCTGCAAGAGCTACGCGAAGCAGCAAGTGTCGACCCTGAGTATGCCCACCTCAAGGATTGCGTGTCTACTGGGTTCCCTTCCAACCGATTCGACCTGCACAAGTCGCTGCTCCCCTACTGGAAAATCCGAGACAGCCTCTCTGCCGACGGGGAGTTGGTTCTGTACGGCCAACGAATCATCATACCTACTGCTTATCACCGACGCACACTCACCCAACTCCACGCCAGCCACCGCGGTGTAGAGGCGACGAAACGTCGGGCACGGCAGACCGTATTTTGGCCTGGAATAGATGCTGACATCAAGAGCACAGTAGAAGCCTGCCAGCCATGTCAGGTCATGCAACCCAGCCAACAACAGGAACCCATGCAGAACGACGACCATCCTACGAGACCTTTCGAGTCGGTATCAGCCGATTTCTTCACAGTCACAGGGAAACCCTTCCTTGTGATTGCAGAGCGTCTCTCTGGCTGGCCTGTCGTCGTTCCCTGTGGTGCCTCGTCTACAGCATCAAGCACCACACGCATGTTCTGCCACTATTTTCGCGATGTTGGTGTTCCACTCCGCCTGAGGACAGACGGCGGACCCCAATTCACCAGCTCCGAGTTCAAGGACTTCATGAAACGATGGGCAGTTCACCGTGTGATATCATCGCCCCATTACCCTCAGTCGAATGGCCATGCTGAGGCAGCTGTTAAGTCAACCAAGTACCTCATCATGAAAACGGCGCCCTCCGGCAACATCGACAATGAAGGCTTCGATAGAGGCCTCCTTGAACTGCGCAACATCCCTAACGCCACAGGAAGATCGCCAGCGCAGATTCTCTACGGACGCCCGCTTCGCTCCTGCGTTCCGGCTCACCCGGAATCCTCAGAGGAATGGCAGGAGAAATCCGAAGACTGTGACCGCCGAGCAGCCGCCCAAGCCGAACAAGTCAGACAGCGGTACGATCAGCATGCCCGTATTCTGCCGAAGTTGCATGTGGGACAAACAGTACGTATCCAGGACCCGACTTCGCTCTGCTGGGACAAGATCGGAACCGTTATGGGCTGCGGAAGAACCAGGGACTACGAGATCAGACTACCGAGTGGACGAGTCTGGTGGCGAAACCGACGTTTCCTGCGACCAGTGCCTACCCCTAGTGCTGATCCCTTCCCCCACATCCCTGTCACACCTTGCTCGGACATGAAATTGAAGTCTGTATCAGTAACCCCCAGTGTTCCCACGTCGATCAAAGCGACTGATGAAAAAACAGTCCGCTCGAGACTGAGCTACGAGCGTGAAGGGGGAGGGAGGAGTAGATACGTGTTATACACCAGTAAACTTATTGATGATACTGTACATATTATTCCCTGTGTATGTACTATTACATAGCTTATGTAACCGTTATATACTTATTCTTTATACCACGTATCCCTGTGCTCCCTTGGCGACGACAGTGACGTCACGCCATTTCATGTTTACCCTCTCGCCTGTTCCTTCGAGCCGTGCGGACGATCTCCGCACGCCTCTTCCTTCTATCCATTTAATATAGCCTCTAAAGTGAAGACAGCTTTTCAGTAGAACCTAGAACTATCATTCGGACATGACCATACATCTAGTATCCTCATTACTATTTTCCCCCGATTTAAAATATATTTTTGCTTTTCCCTGATTTATTATTCTTTATCATTATTATTTATTATTCTTTATCCCTAATTTATTATTATATATTTCTATCTCTTTCTCTTTATCTTTCTATCTCTTTCTCTTTATCTTTCTATCTCTTTATCTTTCTATCTCTTTATCTTTCTCTCTTCTCTTTATCCTTCTATCTCTTTCTCTTTATCTTTCTATCTGTTTCTCTATATCTTTCTATCTCTTTCTCTTTCTCTTTCTATCTCTCTTTATCTTTCTATCTCTTTCTATCTCGTTTACTTTCTCCTCTCTCTCTCTCTCTCTCTCTCTCTCTCTCTCTCTCTC